TGTTTAGGTTTTATGTCTGTCTTTGAATTTTGACTTTTAAAGTGATTTTATTCATTTTTAGTTTAGTCGAACTGATGATGGAGCTGGACTCCGAAACGTTTTCAATATCGATATGGTGAATTTTCTTGGCGTTTTCTTTGCTTTTAAATTCCTTGTGAACTTGCGATATAAGCAGACTAATGATATAAGTACTTATATACGATCTAAATACGGAGAGTAGCTTTGTCATGAAACATGAAATATCAAATCTACCCATAGCCATAGCTCATCCATATGTTAAAAATCTCGAGCTCTTCGAATCGCATCGTAAACTTGCTGATACTCAGTGGTATGATTATTATAAAATAGCATTTCAAATTTTTACAGCATTTTACGAATATCGAGCTATATTTTGTGACGTTCCCATTTTAATGTAAAACCTAGGAAATCCCCGCAACGTCTCGGCACCCGCCACGAGTCAAATATGGAGGAGGTATTACCTAACTGCCCCAAGTGGCTCCCTAACTGCCCAACGCTCCCACCGCCTAACTGCCCAATGCTCCCACCGCCTAACTTCTCCTTAAGGCCCTGATTGAGAACCGAGAGGCTTCGAACAGGCTCGGCTCTTCCCTATGCGTTTCTTCACAAATTAGAATAGACTTTACTGCACTCGTAAATAAGATGGCGATATGGATTATCCATGCTTACCCAGCTATTTATTTATAAACCGTGGACAAGAACAAAAAATATGTAAACTTTGTATTAAAAGACTTTTAATGAGAGTAAATTTCAAGAAACTTTGAATATTATTGTTCATCAAGTCTGCGAACTTTATACTTTTTTCGAGATGTAAACGGGTAGTAATTTTTATTCTCCGTTGAATGGTATACTCGGCATTCCTTGATCAGCCTTCTTGTTGTAAATATTATTTCTCAAAAAATAGTTATGATCGAGCCTGCTGATACGCGGAGGGAAAATCCCGCATACTAGCTGCTCAAATGGAGGCTTTGTGGAAGGTACGAGGGAAAAGAGACGTCGTAAATTACTCGACTGTCAGTCCACGACGGGCGGCATGGTGACAGCAAACTAAATGAGGGGCGAAGAATAATACGTGGCCAGTGGTCGGCCTAGTCCAATATGTTATAGCCGACCGTTGGCCATTTCTCGGCCACCTGAAAGCGACCAGTTGCCGCGAGGAAGGGGCTGGATAGGATATCATATTACAAAGAGTACATGCTCGAGGGTAGCGACTGGCCGAGCTTCGGGCAGATCAAGGATTATACACGATGGTCGCGAAAACCTCGCACTCAGACTTCGCTGCATTCTGAATACAAGCCTTAATACGTATAGCCATATTTAAGACCTTAAGATTCTCGACTTAGTTGTCACTCACAGTGAGCTAATCCATTATTGATCACTCATAGCTGACCACAATTGTCATTGTTATCTTGATAGCCTACTACCTAGATTTCTCTACTAGGATTTAGTTCAGAAACCATAAAGCGTCATAGCCAAGATGCCGTCCGGTTTTCTTCGACTCAATCATAGAGAAAAGTTGAGGGAGACTACTCTGTTCTCCGCCTACCGCCTCAGCTACACGGCCCTACTGCCGACTTGTGCTTCATGGCATCTCTTTTGATTTGTAATATATTGGGTAAATTTAAGATATTTTCCTCTGAATGTAATCTCTAATCTCACGATTTCATGTATCGTAATCGTATTTCAAGCCGAACCGTAGCCGTAGGCACTATAATAACAAACAAAGCCAGCCCAGCGTTGACACTATAGTCGTAATTAAAGCCCAACCCCATGTTGGGCTTTAATATTTTTTTAACCCAACTAGTATAAGGTTGACCCATGACAAGCTCACTTTTGCGGATGTAGTTCGTTGTTCGCCTGTGACGTCACTGATCTCAGTGATGTCACGGGCATTAACCAATCACCAAAATGCGATCAAACCAGTCAACCAATCCGTCTTGGGAATGACGGGATTGTTTACGTTTCTCGATCTCATTGACGTAACAAGAAAACAGAACTGAAAGACGGAAATCTTCGTGGGTCAATCTTATATAGTTCAACCATGGCCCAACTCAGCGTTGACAAATGCAACCACGGCCCAACCCAGCGTTGACAAATGCCATGGAAACCATGGAAACGTCAATAATGGGTATATCTGGCCTAACTTTCCTTGAAGCTGTTTTTGCAAACGTAACTATCATTATAGATGTGTTTCTTCTGTTTGCCTGTCAAAACAACCTTGTGTAAGTAACTAATGAAATACTGCACAATTGACCATACCGACACAAACCATTCCTATCATGCCAGATGTAATCTTGTCATCGAGTAGCTAATTAAAAAAAGCTCAGCTACCACGTTATTAATTAAGCCTAAACAATGGGAGTCTAGCCCCTACCTAGTGTGAGTTTCATGTATGTCTTTCTCGACCTAGTAATTAATATTAAATCTCATTTCCAGCTTACGTCACCATTGTCACCAACGACCGCAAATAAAAACTACAAAAAGAAACCGCGTTTCTTCTTGCCCACCAAACAGCATTCATGTCACGGTAAATACCTGATGGGGAAGGTGGAGCTAGCTGGCCACCACACCCAGGGCCGGGAGGCTCTCCTGAACTATCCTGGCAAAACAGGTGGTCACATCAGTCGCGCATACTTGAATAATGTCCTAATGAAGGCAAATTAGTTGTGATGGGTTTTGAACTAATAATTCAAAATTGCTCTCAGAGATAAAGTATTGAGTGTAAAATATTACCTCAAACACTTGCATTTGCAATTGAACATTCGAATATAATTTTGATGCAGTACTTCATCATCAAATGGTTTCACCTAAAGAACCTCGATTTAAATGAAATATGAATGAATCGTACACAGCATGCATGGGAATCATTACACCTAACAGGGCTCAAGGAGCAGATGCATGTCAATACGAAGTTCACTGCCAGAGACATAATCATACAAATTATATTAGAATGCAGAGTAGTGATCAAAAACCATTAACTCAGTTATTCATAAAAAAACTGTTAATTGATCAAAGAAATCGTGTTGGATCCCAATGCACGGTATAAAACTTGATGTGCTTCACACATTCACTTTCAATGAGATGAGAGATGCCTCTCTCTCATTTGCACTGAAAATCTAAACAAAGAACACAGCACCAAGCCACACCAACCTGTTCCTTAGGCATAGCAGCAGCGTCCTGTGAGGCACATTGATGGGCGTCCCGAGCCTCAACTTGAGCTTCCTCCTTGCATGGCACACAAGATGAGGAAGGTGGAGGTTGCTGGCCAAATGAAACAATCGTGAACAGAGACTTCATTGACACATTGGTATCAGGACAAATTATAAATATAGGAGAAAATTATCCATGCATTCAATTAGTCTCTTTTCAAAGATAATATAACTATATTATGTTGTATGAGACTCATCTATGTACATGGTTGTAACATAATTTTTAATCAATTTAGAATCCGAGTAATGAATTTCACATAAATAGGAGTATATTTTTTCAAGCACTAGATTTCCATAGAAGTTGAAATAAATCCCATGGGGGAATTTATTAGTATCAAATTTGGAATGATCAACAAAGAAAGGATATAGAGTAATAACTTTACCTGATTTTCATCAATATCAATGGGTTCATCCTTCACAGATATGTCATCCTCCTCATTTAGAGGCTCAAGCTTGATATTAACTGCAACGACTTTAGGGTGTAGAGATGAGCCACTGGCTGCTGTTGCTGGATAGAATTGATATGAAATTACATGTTAATAACAACTAATGACGAAACATATCAACACATCGATAAAAGCCAATCAATAACACATTGTCTGCACACAATTGTGAGCAATGCAGTCCTGTTATAGTGAATGAAAAGACATATATGTAGGATATTCCACAGAATATTATTTTCAGCTATACAGTCCTACCTCAGATAATTGATTCATTGCTAAATCTACAGCTTACCATCAGACTTAATTTTGCCAACACCAGAAGGCCTTAGCAGGCGGTTCAGCCCAGACCACCAGCCCTTTTCAACTGCATCGTTGGAGAGTTTGTGCATCACAACACGACATTCTTTCATATCATCCATTATGATATCCATTAGATTCTACTGGGTCCAAGTTGAAGTAGCTTCTTAAAATTAAACAACAATTGGCCCAATTGACATATAAAAGTACTTACTGCACACAAATAAAAAATACAGTTACACAACTATAAAAGATTTTTGGTATAAAAGAATAGCTGAATATTGATAGTGGAACCTCTGACTGTTGTAGTGTATTTTCATATTAAGAAAAAAATATACTAATTTGGAAGTCCCTAATTTGGTAAAATCCTCATCACATCAACAGCAAAAAAGTATTAATTGATTTCAACTGCAGCTTGGAAAAATTCTAAATCATGGACTACAACAAGCATTGCCCAAACCATTGTTTGTACTGCTTCTAAATGGCATTGTTGCTGTGTGTCTCTCTAATAGGCGAGACAAAAAAAATTGAATAGGTACTTTAGATTTTTAGGTGGCAAAAACCTATAAGATTGCTCATTTATTACTGTCAATATAAATGGAGTGCAGGATACAGTTCTATGCAATGGTTAAAGGTTAAAAATTACAGGTTAAATGGGTTAAAGGATGGATTTCAGAGTAATGCAAGAATTACATTATCAAGCAAAAAAAAAAAAACAGAGCACGTCAAGCAATTTTTTTTTGGCACCTTGAAACTATTTTATTAATAATGGCTACAGATGTTACAGAAAGTACTCTGGAAGATGTTATTAGTGACTCCCTCCAGATGCTATTATTGGTGACTTAATGTGATTGAGGATGTTTGCCGCATCAGGGTTTTCAAACCAGTAATTTGTCTGATGGTCTCCACCTCCCCTACAGCCATCCTAAACAACCAGTTTGCAATCTTTTGTGTTTTTGCAAATTTTATTCATTTACTAAAGTGAAGAACAATTACAATTTACTGAAGTAACAGCTGGTAAAAATGGAGTACAGAGGCCAGGAGCAAAGTCAAAGCACGGGAGTCCGCTATTATATTTAGTTATTCATTCAATATTTCCCTGCTTCATCTCAGTTATGAAAAGTCAAACATTAACTAGAAATGTGATTAGCCTAAGGAGTTTGCTTCATCAATATTTTGGTATCCTTTCCTTCCTTAATACAGGGTAGTCAGCAATAGTCATTAGATACAAATAGAATACCGTAAAATGGGGTTACTTTGACCGGCGGGGTAACTTTGACCACTTTTCGTTTTTTTAACAAAAACCCCCAAAACTCGAAAACAATTCGACATAGAAAAATTTTGTCAATGGCCATCAAAGGCCTAATACTGAGGCTACATAACACAATAGAAAGATTTAAAAAGTTTGCATATCTAATAGGTTAAAAAATTAAAAATGTGACCCACGAAAAAGAGCTGGCTTATGAACAACTTGAAATGGTGATGACCATCCTGAGCGCCTTGTATGTCACGTCCAGCGGCCATCACTCGTTCTTATCAGCCTTGCCTTCTGGGATACAACTTTGGCTCGTCCTTAACTCTCAGTCGGAGTACCTCAACGTGGTTCGTTCATGGGTTTGATAGCAGTAATAAAAGGTTACATATTAAAGAATATTAGTGTAGTTAGGCAGAAGTTCTTAATTTATGCAAGTTTAATTAAAGACCAGAGCATGCTTTTTATTAACAATTTTTTTTTTTTCAATAAGCCGAACAAAATTTCCTGCTGGTATTGGGAGATCGAAAAGTAGGTTACCAAAAGACATTTTGCTGGAATACGACGTTCGAATATTCGATATTTATTCTCAAGTAGGCGAAGTGTTTTACCACACTCGAAATTTGCAAATGACATAGGCAGTAGGCACACACAATTTACGAAGCAACTTTAGTCCAGTTTCGCCATAGCGTGAATGAATGTAGTTCACAATATCTCGAGGAGTTCTTCTCAGTTTAAGAATAAAGGCTAAAGGCTATTTCCATATGTATTTTACTAGCTGATGATGGGCATAGCCCGAAACGTTCTGTTTTATTTATCTAGGACTTCTATCCAGTAAAATGTTTTATGCAACTTTTTTGGTTTTAGCCTTTATTCTAGGCACACACAAAATATATCGCAGATATGGTTTGAAATCAGGGCTTAAAATGATTCCGAGAACAATTTCAGCGTCCTGAAAAGTCCGGTGGTTTGCAAATTGATAGCAGGAGACTCGTCCTTTATGAGGAGAGCCTCCGCTATCACCAGTCTTGTAGTATCGGGGCACCGCATGATGATGCTGGTGCAGGCGTCGGGGCACCGCATGATGCTGGTGCAGGCGTCGGGGC